GTGTTTATCAAAGACTTGTTTTTTTTTTTAATTTATTTATTTGTGTGTGTGTGTGTGTGTGTGTGTGTATGTGTGTGGCCAGCTCAGCCCACCAGGGGCCGGGGCTGGCTGGCATGTGGTACTGGGGGATTGAACCGCGGTCCCTGTGCTTTGCTAAGCTTGTTCTAAGTAGGTGCTTTAGACCACTGAGCCATCTCACCAGCCCCAAAGACTTCTAAATATGACAAATTTTTCATACTAAAATTTTCAGACTGTTGTATGTCATAGTTATTGCAAATTTCACCATTTTCTGCACATAATTTCAAATTTTAGCTCGTTATGTCTGTGAGTCTTTTACTTCACATTTAGTGTGTTCTTAACAGTAAAATGTTTTTTATCTGAAAGACAAACGCAGTGGTCCCTGGACTTAGGAACGCAGTTCATTCTCAAGGGCTGTAACTGAGGTTGTCAGCTGCAGGCCCAGAGTTCTCTGCGCAGCCTTCAAAGTGTTTCACACGCACACAGCCAGACCTCAGTATCCTCAGACATTGGCGTGGGGTTTCTCAGTTAACCCCCATGCAGGAAAGGATGTTGCATGCTGCTTCCAAACTGTGTAAGGTTTGTATCTGTATCTGAGACCTTCTGGAAGCACAGGCAGCTGGTACTTGGGCCATAGCTCAAGACTTCAGTTGTGAGTTAAAACTCAAATTCTGGTCATAACCCAAATTCTCCGTATAGCAGGCCAGTTATAACTCAAGGGTCCACTGTGCTTACCTTTGTTTTTCTCTGAAAACACTTTAAGTTTTGTGCTTTATTTAATTTTTCGAGTTACCTGTGTTTATTTTGAAGAAGGGTACAAATGTCCACGTCTAGATGAATCATGATGAGTTTTCTGAAACGTTTGCTTTCTACTGGGTAAACTCCACTGTGGAAGAATGGAGAATACATTGCATTTGCGATGTTTCATCTTACCAGTCTTGACCTATGTTGGTGCAGTAATGCTTTGTCAAAATACTAAAAGCAGTACCAAGTTATAAGTCCAAAAATCATGCAGTGTATGTTGTTTTGTGTTCCATAGGGTTGACATGAAGAACAACCGGTTTCGGAAAGATATGATGAAAAACGCCAGCGAGAGTAAACTTTCAAAAGAGAGGCTTCAGCAGAGACTTAAAGAAGAGTAAGTGTCCTTGTTCATGTGAGTTGCTGGGAGATGCAGTCCTGGCTGTGGGTTTGGTTTTGCTCCATCTGGCTATGGCAGCTCCTTGGTCTCATTCCTGACTTGTGACAGCAGGAGCATTGGCATGGGACACAGTGACTACACGGCAATTCTTGGGGCCCAGCAAATGTGAGGAAAATTTGAACACACAAAAAAAAACCCTGAAAATGTTACCGCCTGAGTATAATTAATAATACTGATTATATATAATATGTTGTCTCTTTTTATGCAATTTTATAATACATTTTTAGAAATTTATATATTTGGGTTCAGGTTTTTTTAAAAATCATTTTGCTATGTTTTGTTTCTGTATTTGAGTTATGTGTATTTTCCATACTATTTGAAATAAGGTAGGGGGAATGACATAGTGCCCCTGAATCTCTCACTGCATTACCTAAGATTACTGAGGTTTCCTTTCATACTCATGGTATCATTTTCTTTCTTTCTTTCTTTTTTTTTTTGGATGGTATAATTATTTCTGTTTATTTAGTTTTTCTCTCAGCAAACCTACCCTAGAATCTCTCAATTACGTCAACATAGGATCACATATACTTCAGTTCCAAAAAAGAGCAAGGTAGAAAATGGGACAGTTTAGGAAAGTGAAGCCTGTATTTCTAGACAGTGGTATGCTTTAAACTTAGTTCCACAAACATAAATGGTCAAGAGTTAACACTTTCAAATCTAGCACATAGTTGGATCTGAGAAGGTAATGGTATCATTTTCTGAGTAAATTAATAACTAAGGGCCAGTAGTTTCTTTCAGTAGTTTGAATAAGATTTGGATGTGATACCTCTTAAATCTCTTTTAATCCAGGATACTCATCTAGCTTTTGTTTCACTATGTTTTGAAGTGTTCATACCTATCGTCTTAAAGAATGTTTGTAATGCTAAGGTTTTCTGACTTTTTAAGATGGAATTCACGTAAACTTACGAATTTTATGTATTGATTTATTTTGGTTTTTTGAGTGAGGGTCTTACTGTGTACTTGAGCCAGACCTTGAACTAACTGTGTATCCCTGGATGGCCTTGAACTGCACATTTAGGGTGCTGCCTCTGCCTCAGCCCGCTGAGTGCTGGGCTCCCCGGTGTGCATGCTGCCGTGCCCAGGCCATTTTAATCACCCCAAAAGAAGATCCTGTATGCATTAGTCATTCGCTTCTGAGTTTCTCTATTTCCAGTCTGATTAGTTTTGCATTGTGGTGCTCCTTTGTCTTCTGTTGTATTTTTTCTTTCCTTTTTTGAGACAAAGTCTTGCTGTATAGTTCAGGCTGGCCTCAAACTTGTGGCCATCTTCCTGCCTCAACCTCCCGAATGCTAAACCATTTCTCGCCATCTGTATTTCTTGTGGACTGAAAAGATTAAACATTTATGTCTAGAACCTGCTACGATGATGCGTACTGTGCCACATCTTAGAAGGCACAGTGTAGAATTCTTAGCTACTCTTGTGAGCCACTGAGCGTTGAGAACCACCTGGTAGCTGTTTCGAAAGTCTTACCTTTTACGATTAATAAATGAACTGAATGAAGTTCTTTTTTATTTATTTATTCATTCATTTTTCCATTTATGTATTTGGTTCAGGGGCTTACTACACAGGTTGGACTCGTAGTGAGTGATTCTCCTGTTGTCAGCCTCCCTAGCGCTGGGATGACAGGTGTGCACCACTACGCTCAGACTTGGTCACCGGCTCAGCACGTCCTGGGGGCAGGGCTGGCGGGGGGTGTACAGGACAGGGGATCAAACTCTGATGATCCCTGCTGAATGAAGTTGTTGAGCAGTGCATGAACAGCCTTCCCCTAAGAAGTTTTTAGGCTTGCAAAATGGTGTTACTTTTCTGTTTTGGTTGTTGAAATCCCCATGTATAGATGATCTACAGGAGCCTAAAAGTTTACTAATCAGAGTCTCAGTGTTTGAGGAGGAATTAGAAATACAGGGTCATAAGTGTTGGGGCGGGGGTTCATTGGGGCCTACTGGGAGTGGAAGTCAACAGTTAGGGCTTTGGGCAGTGCTTGGCCAGAAGTTCCAAGCTGTGCAGGTTGCCTGTGGCACGAAGTCTGCGCAGTTACCGAATGGCCCTGGGTGTCTGGGTTTGTGAGCTGGTTTGCATAGTTGGAGCTTCCGTGGTTCCTCCTGCATGTCATGCTTTGTTTGGTTTGTTTTCCAAGTCACAGCATACTTTATTCACAAGTCATGGTTTTTATTCCCATTCTACATTTGATAGTGGCTGTTCTGTAGCAGTTTTTTTCCCTCTTGGAGTTTACCAACGTTGCTTCAGATTCTTGGGTTTCCCTTATTCAGCGTGTTAAAATAGAGCTGTAGGTCTTCGCTCAGGTGTGCCTTGTAGCTGGCTCCTGCGTTTGTGTTTCCTGTCTTTCTGGTTCAAGGTGTCCGTTCCTTTGCCTGTGTCAGCCTGTTTTTCCAGGAACCCTAGCTCCTTTTTTTTTCCCCTAGCTCCTTTTAATAGGAATACCTTAATATTTGGTGGGGTTATTGATACAGAAATTCTTCCACTTTTGGTCTCTTTGAAAGTTGAGTAGACTCAGGAAATATATGCCTGTTTGAAAAGAATGATTTTTATGTTTATACTTTCAAACTTAAAAAAAAATTAATTTAAAAAATGTTTTAAAGTGGTTTTTTTTTTTTCCTTTACTTTAGCAGTTTTTAATTAAAAGTTGCACAGAGGAGGACTTACTCCTGCATCTCCTCAATCGTTTCTTCCTTGTATTTGCCCTTTTTGTTTCCTACTTGGCGACATGTGGCTTTCCAGGGTGCATGCCCACGTGGATAGCTGTGCCGTTTGCCTTTCCCCACTGCCCCGTTCAGTGTAGATGACATACTTCTTCCTGTAAACCTGGACTACTTTGCCGAGCTGCTGGCCTTTACGGTGTCCTCGCGCAGCCTGAGCTTCATCATCCTTTCAGATGGGCGTAGAGTGAACGTTGTATTTCTGTCTCAGCTCTTTGGAAAGAGAAAACATAATTTTCCTGTGAATGTGGGAAGGCTCATTGAAACGCCTTTTACAGTTTTTGCTTCGGTCCGAAGGCATAAAAGGATTAACTTGATTTTGGCAGGCAGGCGCTTGTGCTGCTGTGCTATGTTTCCAGCCCCCGGAAAGCCTTTCAGTGGGCTAAAATGGCCCGCTGCAACTCGCTGAAGTGTTTGTTTTTCTACATTTGTAGAGATTCATGTTATTGTCATCCCTTTTTTTTTTTTTTTTTTTTTTTACTTTAAATATTTTTTTTACCTTAATGGTTTTCAGTTTGTTTCTGAAGTGAGTTGCGGGGCTTATAGTCTCACATAACAACTCTGATCTTCCATGTATGATTTTTTTTTTTTTTTTTTTTTTTTTTTTTTTTTTTTGGTATGGGCACTTGAACTCAGCCTCATGCATCATACATTTTAACAGAAAGTAGGTTTATTGACATGAAATCCACCTTTTAAGAGTCATTGCGGTAATGTTACATACATATAGTCAGCAACGCCATAATCAAGATAGGGCAGTCAGTTGCCATTACTACTACTTTTAAAAATGTGTAGTATATTACTTTTGCTTGTGTTTTTTGTGTTGTTTATTTTGTCTTTATGAGGCAGAGTTTTGATATGCGATTCAGGCTGGCCTTGAACTCACTTTGTAGCTCAGGCTGGCCTTGAGCTTGCAGCAGTCCTCCTGCCTCAGCCTCCCAAGTGCTGGTTTTGTAGGCATGTGCCACCATACCCAGCCATCGTATCCCTTTTGTAGTCTGCTCTCTCTGCTCTGTTTTTACCCCTTTTAGCCTCTGACAAGCACTGATCTGTTTCCTGCAGTTGTAGATTTGCCTTTTACAGAATGTTATACAAACGAAATCATACAATGTGTAGTCTCTATCTGTGACACCCATTTGGTGACTATTATTTCAGTTGTATTTTTCAGCTTTAGAAGATCTTTTCAACTTAAAACATTTTTGTTTTAATTTCCCATTTATTATGTCCGTACTACCTTCAAGAACTTAGATCTATTTGTTAGCTTTTTTAAAGTTTCTGTGTGCCAATCTGTCATGTTTGTGATTTTTCTTTTTGCTGGTTTTTCTTCTGTTACAAGTTCATGTTTTTCTGCTTCTATGCATGTCTAGGTATTTGATCAAATTCTGGGGAATGTTCCTTTTTTGTCTCTTGGCAGTCAGTTGACTTGAATATGTTTGGTCCCTTAAAGACGTGTTCTCGGCAGGTCTGTAGTACAGTCTTTTAGGCTGACTTAGGTCCACTGCTAAGGTTGGCCATGCTGAAGTCTCGGCTGCTTGCCCTGAGTGCCTGGGCTTTGGTGTTGTGTGTCTGCCAGCTCCTTTGGTAGTTCTTTGCCCAACCTCATGGAGTCACATCCCAGCAACGTGTAGCTAAACGCTCAGCAGAATTGTCATCGGATTCTGTACTGGTTTCTGGAGCTCTTTCTCTCCCTCCTCTACAGTATATCCTTTTCCAAGCCTGTTCTTTTTCTTGGTTGTCAGGGCCTTTTTATAAATGCTGCCAGGGAAAGTGCTTGGTGGCGCTAGGGTACATCATGTCCATGTCCCTTTCCTCGGGAATCAGTCCTTTGCTCCCTGTTGTTTGATTTCTGAAAATAGTTGTTTCATACATTTTGTCCAGTTTTCTGGTTATGTATGGCCAGTGGACTTAGTTTGGTAGGCTAGTTGGCACTTCTGCATTAAAAATTTAAGGGGCTGGGGAGATGGCTGAGCGGCGTAAGCTATCTGGCAAGCACAAGGACCTGGGTTTGATCCCTGATGCTGCATACCATACTGGCCCTGGAACCCTGGTGTGCTGTGTAGACCACTGAAACTGGGCGTGGTGGCATTGGTCTGTAATCCCAGTACTGGGGAGGCTGATACAGGAAGATCATTATGAGTCCTCGATGTGTAGGGAGACCCTGTGCCAAATAAATTAACAAATAAATAGATTCAAAACAATTTAAAATGGCTCCTTGCCCTCCTCAGCTGCCAGTCCTTTGGAACACATCTATCATCTGTCCTACCTCCTCCACCCTTCATGGTACTGGGTTATGAAATAGGCCTTGTGTGCTTGCTAGGCAAGTGCTTACTCACTGAGCTAAATCCTAGTCCTCTTTGTTTTGAGACAGGGTCTTCCTGAGTTGTTCAGTCTGGGTTTTTTTTTTT